AACTATTTTTCATCACTAAAGGAGGCCTTTAATAAATCTTCGACTAAGCCGAAATTGACAAGTCGAATTTCGGCTATATCGAAGAAGAATTCTAGTCCCAATGGTTTCAAACCTGCGTTAATATCATCGCACAAGTCGAAGTCGGAGGCTCTTTGTTTTTACAAAGAACTTCAAACACATGACCATGGAAATGTATGTAACGTTTTTGTAGAAAAAATCATTCCTGAAGAACAGCGCACAATGAGAAAGTACGCTCAATGTACTGATAAAGGCAGTTCCTTTGGTCCACTCCATCCCCTCGATGTTTGGCTTTTCAGCAGCTGCACTACTGCACCACAAAGATAGAATAGAAACATGCAGTTACTTTAAGTAAAAAAAAATTCTACTTCCACGGAAGTCGAAATCCGCGTAAGTCAAAGCTTTTCCTTCAGTCCCGTTGGATTCGACTTAGACAAGGTCGACTGTATGAGGATATTAAGTTATTCATTATGAGGTTATTATGAACATTCGGGCCAGCATTTTGCCAATTACAGCCACTTGGTCAGCGTGCGAGCTTGGCACTTGCCCGCTCGCCAATGTCGAGTGAAAATAATATCGGGCGAGTGAAAGCTAAATCTGACTCGCCCATGTTGGCGAGTAAAAATAATTGTCTAGAACTTTAATCAAATGTTGGTTCCTTACGTTATATATCCAAACATTGATGAAATACAGTTGTAGCGATTGTGAAGGGCGGCTTACACGACATCTTCATTATATATTATCAAAGGTCGCCGAAGAAAGCAGCCCCCGAGAGCGTGCAGCGCCAGCACAGCGTGGCTGTGTATACGTGCCTGGGGAAGCATATTGATTGATGTACGGGGAGGGGGAATGCAGGATTGTTAGCTCATCTGACGTAGTCAGGTGCAGCTTGTAGAATTGCATGATTGTCCGTCCGGCCGTCTGTCCGTCTGTCCGTCAACAGTTGGGCACAAATCTTAACTGCTCGACGTATGGTCACGATATTCGGGACGTGGGTGGGGGGGGTAATCCGGAAACGAGTTGGGATGTCGAAGCTGGGGGTTGAAGGTCAAAGGTCCAGAGGTGTAAAAGAAGGAGGAACATTGCGCCTTAACTTAACACGTTCAACGCAGAAACACGAGTATATCTCGTTCGACACGCGTGCAAAACGCACGGCCGCCGAAACACGAGTATACTCGTGGCAAAAAAAATTATTAAAAAATTAAAAATTAATTGGAACGTTTACTATGTTCTCCTATAGATGGCAGGGGCTATACGCTTAGGCAATTCAATAGCGCTCACTGTATACCCCAGTAGTAGATGACATAATTTATACAATACTTTACTGTTGTTTAGAACGTTATTTTGGGAGTTTTTGGGACTGAGGTAATGTTTTTAGTTTAACCTCGCCAAGGAGTCTTGACCGCCGTGTGTTGTGAAGTTGTCTTTATGTCTGAAAGTTGTTGTTTGATTTGATAGATCCGGGTGATAGATTCCGCGGTGTTGTTTTGATGTCTGAGAGTAAGTTTTATATCTATATTATACTAGCCACTAATTATAAATAAAATTTTATAGCGTAGTTAAACCTGCCAAAAACATTTTGTGTAATAGGTGACTAAGCGGTAAAAACGCGAAAATCTCAGCACAGGGCGGTAGGTGCATTGTTAAACATGCAGCGTTCAACGTGCATAGGGACGTATATACATATAGACCGTATAAGTGCGATCTGTGTGATGCCTGCATTCTCACAATCGAGTAAAATGAAGATACATATGAGAACTCACACTGGAGAGAAACCGAAAGAAGAAAAAGACAAACGAAAAATTATTTAAATGTAATATTTTAACGTGAAGCTTTCGCTCTGAAGACATCAATATAATCACGCATGACAATTCATAATAATTGCTAGAGAGAATGTCGTACAGATCTAAGCAGAAAGTAACTTCTCAACTGTCAGACTGTAACAGAACTGTAAGAGCAGCTTGGCTCTGTGAACACGCGTCACGCAAATCAGTACTATCCTGTAACAACCCTTTAAAATATCCCACTCTTATGTATGCCGTCGTACCACCTTGAAATAAAGAGGAGGGACCCGCTACCTGTCTGTAAAGAAATATCTATAAATATATATAAATTGCTCTGTGGCAGAATCTCGCTAGTTCATTTGTATCGATGGCCGAGCCAACCATAGAAATATATAGAGACAGAAATAGTAGTATATTATTTCTATGTGGCCAACCCTGGTTACTTCCTTCCTTCACCTCCTCCCCCCCCCTCACCACAACTCTCAATGAGAGATTGCAATCCCTTTCTCTTCGTGAATGTCTCGTATTCTGTGAATAGTCGTCAGATTTCTGAGAGATACAAAAAGAGAGAAGTGGAGAGAGCACGAGAGATAGAAGACGCGAGTGAGAAAGAGAGAGATAGAGATAGATAGAGAGCGAGAGACACAGACAGCGAGCAAATAAAGAGTGAGAGAGGAGAGATAGAGAGAGAGTGAGAAAAAGAGAGATTGAGAGCGTGAGACGGACAGCGAGCAAGAGAGAGAGAGAGAGTGAAGAAGGGAGAGATACAGAGAGAGAGCGAGAGCGAACAGACAGGCAGAGCGAGCGACAGTGAGAAGAAGAGAGACGCTTCTCGTTAAATTTCCGACTAATTTAGCTTATGTCTGACTTTTGCCAATTTTCACATGTTTGTTTCATTTACAACATGCAACCGCATAACGTGTGATTACCAATATGTGTGCGAAGAATAAAACACTGCAAATACTGCGTTACATGCTGCCTTCCTCTTTTCTTGTTATTTGCTAGAACCCTGAGGGACAACGACACATCAACCTTCAGTGAGATCCTCCGCTACTCGTACAATTATCTAAGTACACACACACAACACACACACAGCTGATCTTGACCTGACTGATGCACAGCAA